GGCCTTGTCCTTGGCTTTCAGAATCTGTTGAGAAAAGTTGCCCGTTCGAAAAAATGTCGGTTTTACGGGCAAAAAAACGTGTAAAAATGGCAGATTGTGGTACAACATTTTTATGTTTTTCGCGATTTTTAGCTCTATATGCCCAGCTATTACTAGGAAATCATTTCTTTTGCTAGAGAACATCATAAAATGACCATACGCAGTGAAAAACGCAGACAGATCGGAAAATTATTTTAAGTCGCACGATGTCGCATTTTTTGGCGTTTCGCGCCACTGTGCGCTGCGCTGTCGCTGGCGTCGCCGCTGCGGGTCGTCGCCTCGTCGCGGCCCGGCTGCGGCGGCTGCGCCCGGCTGCCGAAAAGAAGGGAAGGAGACAAAGCGCGTGTGTCCAGTGCAGGTGCATCAAGTGCAAGGCGGTGCACCGCCCGCTGCAGTGAGAGAGCGCGAAGCGAGCCGTGTAACGCGCTAGCGCTCTAACGACCCCACAGGGAGAGAGTGAGAGAGAACGCGGAGAAATTAAGTCGGCGGAAAAGCAAAGCGTGGGTCGAAGGCGGATCGCTCTTTTCGCGGCTGTTTAGTTTAAACTGACGAGAGCGCCTGGCGGGTGGGCAGCCCGGCGCGCAGCGGTGCGCTCGGGCACGGCGGCGGCCTACCTCGCAGGCGGTCTCGCTGACTCGGATTCCACTTTCGATGTTCCCGCCAAGTTCTTAATTCGCCTGGCACGGGCATTTGGGCAGCCGGAGTGCCAAACTGTGGTGTGTAATTACAGTACCTGTCGAAGCGCGAAGGCGGCCGTGTTTTTGCGCTCGTGAAACACACGGAACTACGTCATCCAGCGCGGCCCCGGTTCATTTTCGGCTGGAGTGCCTTTCGTCCCGTTTGGGCTACGTTTTTGTTTTTGCTGTTGTTGGTTGGCAGTGCCGCCACTAAACGCCGATCGTAATCTGACTGTGGGCGCACCGCGCGCACTGCGCGCACCGCGTGTGCTCCCGGGGCCGCCGCGCCGCCCGCCACGCCGCCACGAGCGCAAGGAGACAGCTTTCCGGACCGATTGCTGGCCTTCGTCTTGCCTTCGTCTCCCCCCGTGACCCACAGTACACCGCGAAAAAAACAAACAAACATAACACAAATAAAACATACACCATTCAGTATCCGACGACACACACTGTAGATGTATTTATTTACATTTTGAGACAAATAGAAAGCAGAAATTTTTTCTTGGAGTGCGCACGAATTCCAGGTACAAACAGGCGTCCCCAGGGTTCACAAAAGTGAAATGGAGCCGAAAGTTCGGTCGTCACAGGTGGAGGCAGGAGCCGCCTCCTACAGTGTAGTCGCGCCCGGCGATCGCGTGCGCGGCGTGGCGTCGCTTTGGCGCGTGGCTTTGGGAGGCGGAGGCCGGGGAGTCGGGCCGGGCCGGGCCGCCGTGGCCGCACTGGCTGGCGTGGCCCTAGTGACACAAAACCCACGACGACGTTCTGGACAATGAAATCGCCGCGCGAACGCGTGCGTGCCGCGTGCGTGCCAAGACATGGCCGAGGACAGTGTGCCGACCGGCAAGCGCTTCAGATCAGCCCCGCGACGCTGTCTCTCTCGCACCCGCGCGGGACGCCCTGGGAGTACGATGAAAAGAGAGAGACAGAGCGGCCGGGTCTCTATTCGCAATGAGCCCGCTGCAGACGATGGGGAAAACGGATTCAATCAACGACGAACGCGCGCTGGCTTATCTGTGGCGGTTTCTAAATGAACTGCCGACTGTTTCCGAGAGTCGTTATCGTCGCTCTGTCTCTCTCGCACCTGCGCGGCAGGCTCCGCGAGTGCGAGAGAGAACGACTCGCGGAATCAGTTGGCTGCGCCCGGTGGGCGGATGCAGCTTCCTGCCCTGTGCCGCCCTGTGCCGGACCGGACTGGAAGCTCCTTAGCAGCAGGCCGCCGCGCCGTGCCGCGCCACGCCGCGCTCCGCATGCACTACGAGCCCCCCGCGGTCGTCCCGGCGTCCCGGCCATGTTTTACGGTGGCGGCGCGGCACGACCGGTGCTCTCGTTGCAGTTTTTGCCGCGGAACGGCAGAGCGCCCCCCACCCTGGCCATGCTGGCCGTCCTCCTCGTGAGAGATTTCCGCCGGTGTGTTTTACTGCGCATACGGCCGCGATATGACGGCCAATTAAAGGCAGACTCTCCTCTCGGTGCTTTAGTGCGCTTAGTGCGAGTACGACTGCAGGCTGCTGATTGCTCGCAGAGCTTTCGTTGCTGTGTCTCTCTCGCTCTCACGGCGTGTCCCGAAGGGGTGCGAGAGACGCAGAGAGGAGCACTGCGGTGAATAACAAGGACCAACGCCCGGCGGTGCGCGGGTACGCGTCAGTGTAGTGGACTGGGTCGGGAGTGCGCTGCCACACTGCTACTGTGGCAGTCGGACGCTCGGCGCGTAACACGGGGCGCCAACTGAGTGGGAGAGAGACAGAGAGAGGTGGCGAGAGAGGCAATGAAACTCCGCCGCACGGGTCCACTGCCAACACTTGCCGCACTCGGATTGGAAAGTCGACATCGCCAAGATGTAAATAAAGGGCGTGTTTATACGCAGTAAAGGCGGCGGACTGGCGGACGGGCGGCGACGAAAACGAAACTGTGCAAACATAATCCGCGAGATCCGGATGCGTGGCTGCGTGGCTGCGCGGCGAGGCGAGGTGCGTCTAGCTCGTCTGGCGAGTGGAGCGGAGTGGAGTGGCGGAGTGGTGGGGAGAGTGTCATTACAAACCAGTGGCCGGCGGCGGGTCGGCCCTGTCCGCCGCCTGCTTCGAATCGACCCGCTTCCGTCGCCAAATACGCGACAGTTATCGACTTGCGATGATGACGACGAGGGCGGTGACGCGCGGAGCCCGCGGCCGCTTCGTTTTCCAGTCAGGAATGCTAAGCCGGGCACCGCCAAGCAGTGCGGTCTTTTGTTTTCAATTGAGAGCAGCGAGCGAGCCGGGAGGGTTGGCAAGCTCGGCCGGCTGTCCGTTTTGGCGCCAGGTTGGCAACCCTCCACGTACAATAGCGGCTCGGCCCGCGACGGATGGCACGGCGCGATATCGATCGCTCGAACCACGCCTCAAATTAGCGGGAAAAAAGACAAACGCTTCAACAAACAAAGGGAAGCGACGCCCCGCCAATTTCGCGAAATTCATTAAAAATGCAGGGCGGGTCGCGGCGGATGCGACGGATATGGCGACTGATCGCTCTTCTTTCTTTTCGGCGACGGGGAGGGTCCTGGGCGAGGTCCTGGGTCCCTCCTGACCCTGCAGCCGGCCCACCTCCGCGTCTGGCGGCGTGACCCTCATAAACGGTCGGTTTCTCCGGCGGGGCGTCAGCTCGGCGTCAGCCTCCGAGCGCGCTCTACAGCGGTGCAGTATGTAGCGCGTTAGAATGGCCAAGTGCCTGTCGGGCCGTGTGTCGGCAGCATTAGCGGCAGCAGTCCGGTGCATTCAAGCCTCGTAAGAGGCATGCCTTATGGACTATCGTGCGCTCCGTGCGCCGGGCTCGTGTGCGTGCCATGGGAGTGCGCACGTTACTCTAAGCCGTACTGCATCTCATTACCGATACGCTGGTCGCACATGCGAGAGCCGAGCGCGCCGCGACTCCGCCTCTCCCGGTCTCCGCGGGTTCGAATACCGGCGACGTCCGACTCCCCTTTTTCGCCGTCGGGACAATGCACTGTCCTGCCGGGCTTCGCGCGGACGGCCGCGCCCTGGCCGCGGACACGCCCGGCGCATTCTCGCGTAATTTTATTGCTCTATTTAGTCTGTTTCTTTTTGCAACGTTTTACCGTTTAGGCGCGCGCGGGCATTCCGCGAACGCGGCGAACGGAGGGCGAGGCGAGGCGCGAGGCGCGAGGCGTGTGCCAGGGACGGCTGCTGGCTGGCTGCAGGGCTGGCTGCAGGGCTGGCCGGCTGCGCGGGGCGGGCTGGCCGCTGGGCCGCTGGGCTGCTCCCTGCCTGCGCCTCGGCAACGTACGAGCGCAGATCGGCGATAGACGAAGTGTGGCGAGCAATAAACATTGGCGCCTTATTTACGACAAGGTGCTCGTCCATTGTAGGAACAAGGACGCCGCCGCCAACTTCCAGGCCGGCGGAAACACACACTCACACACTCACAGGATTCGCAGTAAAATAATAAACGCATAAAGAAAAATAGAACGGGACTGGATCCGTGCGGCCGGCCTGGTAGCGCTGCTGCTGCGCCGTGGCTGCGCTGTGCCGCGCGGCGGCAAGGCGGCATGGCGGCAGCACTGCCGAGGGGCCGTAATTTGCCTGGGCGCGGAAGACCGGACGGCTTCGGACGACTTGGGTGCCTCCGCCAGCTCCTGCTAGAGCGGCCGGTACTTTCGCCGTGATAAAGCCAGGGCCTCAGCCGGCCTCGGCCGAAGCGGGGACAAATTAGTCTCAGGAAGCGCCGAAGGGGGTCTCGGTGGACACGGACAGCCGCGCCCGAGTATGTGTGTGTGTGTCTGTGTGTGTGAGTGTGTGAGGTTCCGCGCCCTTGATGCGCAGGCATCGGATTTACAGCCAGCCTGCTTCGCTCAAGGCTTCGCTGCTAGCCCTGCTGGCCTAGGCCAGGCCGCTAGGCCCGGGCCAGGCAGAGCAGAACTGTCTCCGCCGCGGCGTGCGTGGCGTGCACACTGTGGGTGGCGTGCCGCGTGCGCCTGGCGGTCGCGTGCTCCCGTTCTGCCATTGGGATCCCCCCCCCCCTCGCCGCGTGCAGTAAGTGCGGAGTGGTTCACAGCGGTCCGGCCGGAATGTCAATGGCGGCAAAAACGAAAGGCGTCCCGAGGTGAACCCCTCAGGCCGACGGCGTCCCCAACCAACCAACCAACCACACGCCGTTAAATCCGATCTCCCCGCGACGCTCGACCGCCTTGCATCGATGCGCGGATTTATGGGACATCGAGTGAGCAAACCACTTTCAGGGGGGGAATACGAGACACCGCGCACGCGCGGGAGAATTCGAACACAGACTTCTCACCTGAGGTGGCAACGCCTGAACCAAAGCGAGATGACTGTCCGTTTGATGGAGGGTAAGTGTGGGTATCACCGCGCAGCGGGCCGCCTTTGTTTGCTGCCACACTGCCACGTCCGGCGGACGGGCTGCCAGAGATAGCACTGGCGCGGCGCTGCAGACTCATTCCGAGAGTCGTCTGTCTCTCTCGCACTCATAGGGAGCTTCGTATAGGTGCGAGAGAGACAGCGACGAAGGCGACTCGCGGAACCAGCCCGCTGTAAGGCATCCTATGCAGACTGACTCCGAGCGGCGCGCCATGTCGGGACGTCTCTCTCGCACCTCTATGGTGCGCCCGGCGAGTGCGAGAGAGAGGAAGGCCTCCCGCTCAGAGTCCGTTTGCTGCTCCTGCTCCGCTTGCCGCGATATCAGATCGTCTGGCTGACCGGGACGGACCGGGATTAGTGGAGGGCGAAAAGATGTGTCCGATGAGACGGCACTGGCAGCGCTGGCAGGCTGGCGGCCACGCGCCGCCCCGCCGCCGGTAACCACACCGTAACTCCGGACGGCCTGCACGCCGCGTGTGGTCTGCGAGGGCCTCGCCTGTCGTCCGCGCGAAGCCTCAGCTGCAACTTCAGCCAGCGAAACAGAGAAATGGAGAGCGGCCCAAAATCCGTTTCGTGTCGCCGTCGCTCCATGCGCCGCGTGCGGGGAGAAACGCGCGGAATCGCCCTGGACGCACGAAATCTCGAAATTTCGCTCCCCGCGCGTTCTGCGAATAACGTGTCGTCGAGAGGCACAGAGAGAGGCGGGTCTAAAGCAACAGATGAATGGGACTCGCTCCTCCTAGAAACGCAACGCGGAACAGAAGCCCCTCGTCCTGAGGATCGACCAAGATTAATGGCACCCGAAAAGTGCTATTTCTATTTCTGTTCCACCCCGTGCGCCGGCCGTGCGTGCCGCCGCGTCGTGCGGCGTACAGTCACGCACCGCACCGGCCCCAACGGCGGCAGCGAAACACGAGAACCGACCTGCGAATAGGAGCCGCCGTAGTGACGTCGCTATTGGCAGCAGGCTTTCCATTAGCGGCGCTATCGCGCTGCCGGTCGACACCTCGTTGGTTAGGCCGGGGCGATAGACTGCCGATAACGTCGGCAGGGTTATCGGCAGCTTTTGTCTGTTTTGTCCGGCAGGCCAACAGGGGGCGGTGCAAGGCAAAGGTAGAGCAGCAAGCACGCTGTGTGACAGGCGGGGACCTCAACGCGCGGCCAAGCAAGAGCGCCGAAACGGAATGGGGTTAGTTCGGAAAACAATGCACAGTCGCATTCGGCTGTTGGCCGTTGTTGCCGCTGCTGCCGTTCGGTAGCCTTTCGGCCGCGACACGCACACACACACACACACACAGCGCGTCTCCATGGCGACCGCCGCGTCATGGTCTATTGTCGCTGCGCCGAGACAAGTAGTGACTCGGCCCGGTATCCTCCCATACATTGAGTGGTCTACTTGTGTGCGCCGCGCGCTGGCCGCGCGCTTCCGAGGAGTCGCCTCGCCGCGCTGTCCCTCTCGCACGCAAGGGCCGCCTGGGCCGTCCCGTGAGTGCGACAGAGACGGAACGAGCTCCCTGCCGGCTTTGTGCCGTCAGTGCCGTCTCCCTCCAGCCCAAGCGGCCCAAGCCGGCCGTGTGGCCCAACAGGCTGGCAAACGCCGCGGATGACGTCCGCGGAGCACAATAAGTGCCCGCGCTGCATGACCGCAAAGTTCACTCCACACCAACCACCATCATTTTACTCTTGGCTTTTTTTTAAGCGGTCTTGCTACCGCTTCTAGCTCTGCATCCGATCCCACTCATCCCATCCCATCCACCCATCCATCCATTCAGCGCGCTCGGGCTCGGAGGGGACTGCATGGTCGTGTTGGTCGTCGTCGTCTGTCGTCGTCCTGCGCCGCCGCGCCGCGCCGCCGCGCCAGTCCCCACTCCTCACAGCCACCCCCACCCTTCTTGCCCCCTCTCTGCCCGGCCTCGCCGGCCGGTCCACGGCAAGACCGCTTTGCTAAGCTTGCCTTGGCGGAACTTTTTAACAGAGTGAAGGTGTTGGGTGCCGCGTGAAACCGACGCGGCGATCTATTTGGTTTATTAGCCGACGCATGCAGGCCGTGCAGGCCCCGAGGCTACTCCACACCGACTATATCTAACTATATCGAGCGATGCAGGGCAGGCAGGCAGGGCACGCCCTGCAGTGCACACGGTGCACACCTCACCGCAGCCGTCCCTTGCACGTTACGCTTTGCACGCCCTTCTCTGCTCTCGCCCCGTTACCCCGGCCTGCCCCGGCCGCGCTGTCTCTCTCGCGCACTCCTGGGGTGTCCAGTGTGCCAGTGTGGGTGCGAGGGGGACAGAGCCAGACAGAGCAGCGTTCGTTCGGAATCGGACAAGTGCTGCAGCGCCCCGCCTGCGACCGACCGCGGAACCAATTCCACGCCTGCTTTGCTCTGCGGGCGCCGGGCAGTGCCGCCGCCGGGTGCTTTCGCGCTGTTTGTTATTACTCTTTTCGGCTGCCAGGCTGCCAGAGCGAGGAGAGTAAAAACTGGCCTCATCGGTCAGGCTCGTGGCGAGACCGGCGAGACCAGAGACTCACTCGGCACTTGTCAGTCAACGTCAGCACGGCCGGCTGTGCGGCCCGCAGCGGGCAGGGTTACACGGCAACCGAATGACACGACGAGAGAGAGGAGGGAATCTTCTTTCATCCGCCCGGGCATGGCCGAAATTGACCGGGGCGGTTCGACTAAGTCCCGCGCCGGGCGGCGCCGTTTGTGATTTGTTTTTCTAGCAGTGCCGGCGAACGGTGCGCTATGGTCATCATCTTCCAAAAGGCCGGGCGGCTGGCCGGGCGGATTCTCGTTGTTCACGTGCACGCGCGGCGCCGCGCTGGCGGTGCTGGCGATGCGCTCCGTAATAGCGGCTACACTGCTATTCGGCTGTCGGCGTAATTCGAGTTAGTGCTTGCCGGTTGGCGCCGTCCGGCCCACCAGCCGTGCCCAAAGAACACGAAACGCTCACAGTGACGTCAAAATGACGTCAATAGGACAAGCTTTAGTCAAAATTTCGACAAAAGATAGCATCACTTCGACGCCATTTTGACTTGACTGCTTCGTGAGTGTTTCGTGTTTTTGGGGGTGGCGGGATCGACGGCCGGGACACAATGGCGTCGATGCATAAATTAAAGCGTCGAATCAACATCCACCAGCACGGGCCCGCAAAAAAGGAAGGTCGATTGGGGTCACAGAGGGCGGTAATGCGCCTGGTGACCGGAAGGGACCCGGACACGCCCAGAGAGACGTTCTCGGCGATCAAGACCACCAGGCGCTGCGCTGTGCTGCGCGGCTGGCCCACGGTGCTCAGTTCATGGTGGCGCCGGGACCGCCGAAGCCTGTGAAGCCCAACCCGAGCACGGCATATGCGTGCCAGTGCCATGCATTACCATGAACAAATGCGCTGGTCGCTTCACCGCGACCGTGTGTGTGTGTTTGTGTGCGTGTGTGTGTGTGTGCCTGCCGCATAAACGTGTGCATCGACGTCCGCATGCCCGGCGCCGTGATAGCCATCCGACATAGAAAAACTAATACTTGTCCGAGCGCGATGCGGCGCGATGCTGCGATGCGCAATTTTTCGAGCCGACGCGCCTCCCGCGCCGCGGTAAAAGTGGCCTCGGAGGCTAGAAAGCAAAAAGCTTGCCGCTGCCGTGGACTCGGTGCAGATTTGCATGCGAAGGTGCAAGCTGTTGCAGGCGGTTGCAGGCCGTTGGTTGTTGCAGTGGTGTGGGCAGCCTGGCCGTCCAGACAGTTGGCAGCCCTGGTCGGATCGGGGGTGGGGCACCGGCCATCAGAGCGATTCCGAAAGATTGTTTCGTGAGTCTCCGTCGCACTCATGGAGCGCGGCGTGGGGGTGCGAGAGAGACAGGACGGAGTGCGCCGGAGCAGCGCGAGCGACATGCGGCAGGCGAGACGCGCGGCCGTCCTTATGGCTGAAGACGGCATGCAGTGTGCCCGCTTACGGTGTGGTACGGTGTCTAACGCGAACCGCAAAAGCACACCCCACGCCCCTGTCGTCCTGCACCGCGCATGCCGCGCGCCAGCTCGCCGCCACCGTCATTTTGAGGCGGACGGCCACGGCGCGGCACTTCCACGAAGTGCACCAAGCGCACCGCCTGCACCGCGTGCACCGCGCGGCATTTGTCGTTACGGTCGGCTCGGCCGAGGCTCGGCCGAGGCTCGGCCCTAACACGTCGCGGTCTGCGTGCGGCCGGAGTGCGGCCCGGCCGGCGGTCCACACGATTCCATTTCGAATGCAGCCGCGGCCTTGCTCGCCAATGTAAGCACGCACGCGACAGCGGGACGCTGCGCCTCGCAGCGCCGGGGACAGGCAGACTCACGGGCAGGCAGCTCGGATTTTCTCCCCGGCAGAGCCGGCCGTCAGCCACAGCCGGGGAGCCGTATTGACACCGGGGCCGGGTTATTGAACAGTTACTGATTGTGTGGCTCGGCCAGCGCCGTCAGCAGGATGAGTCCCAACGGCGCTTCGGCGCTCTGTCTCTCTCGCTCCCCCTTTCGAAATTCGAAATGAGTCTCCAGGCCGAGCTCGTGCCGGTGCCGGACCATGCCGGACTCGGTGCCGCTCGGCCCGCCCGTTGCCAGACGTCCGCAGACGTCAGTCCGTCCGGGACCGGGACAGGGCCGGTCCGGGACGGTCCGGGACGGTCCGGGACGGTCCGAGACGGCGACGCGGGCGACCGGGTGACGCCCCTACCGCCCCCACCGCCCGGCTTGGCACTGCTTGGCGCTCTCGACGCCGTGCCGGCCAGCCGCGACGCCTTGCGAGCTTGGAGCGGCCCACTCGAGTGCTTTCCTCGGCTCGGCCAATATTTTGACAGCGTGACGCTTTGCGAGAGCTAAGGCCAATTTCTCTGCCAAAGAGGATCTTTAGCAGGGGACACCCACAGCAGTTTGGAAAACTGTGCGAAAACTTTTGGAAACGAGATAAAGTAGGGTGATGAATGCAGTTGCGGTAGAAACGCGTGGATCCCAGCATGTCATTTCACGAATTGGAACAAATTCAGAATGAAAACGAATGTGTGAAAGAACGTGGATCGGGTGTCGAACCCGGGACTTCCTCGCAGCACCGTGGCTTGCTACGCGCGCGGTCACCGCGGCTACTTACCGGCGGCTGCCGTGGTGATGTCGCCGTCGTCGAGCGCCAGCGCGGCGCAGCACTGCGCCAGGACGGCCGCCAACACCGCGAGCGGCTCCATGTCTGCCGTCCGCTGCTATCCGTACTGTCGTATTCCTGAGCCACTGTGCCTCAGCGTGCACCGCGCACTTCACCCGGGGCACATGTCGCAGGCCGGGACACACTTCACTTTGGCACTGCCTATTGCTGCACCGCGTCGCACCGCGTCGTCCTGCCGCTCGCCGCACTGCCTCGCGTTCACCGCGCCGCGCCGCACACAACCTCTCTGCTCCGCGAACCGCGCCAAACTGAACCGTGCCGGCCGGAACATCCACTAATAAACTCATTCTGAATGTTCGCCAAAAGAGGAGGACGGCGTCGCGGCGCCGCGCGGGAGCGAGTGAGAGGGGGCAGGAGGAGGGCGTCGAAGGGGAGGGGGCCTTGGGTGCGGCGGGGGAAGGGGAGGGGGGGGGGCACTGCAAGAGCGGCAGCACGCGGAACGACACGGCAAACAGGGGGGAGCCGACCCCTGCCCGGGCATGCCCCCTCCACACGCACACGTACGCAAACACACACACACACACACTCGCGGAGGGAAGTCCCGCTGCGGGGAGCGCCGTGCGGATAGGCCGTCCCGGCGTGCGCCCTGGCCCTGGCCGTCGAGGCCACGGTGGAAAGCGGCACGCCGACGGGGAGGGTTCGAGCGCCGTGGGATCCCCGTGACCCCCACCCGTGTGGAGACGCGCGCTTTTGTGCGCGCTGCATCGTCCGCGGGGGGCGCGGCCAGTCCAGGACAGCCCGAGCGAGCTCCCCGCCTAGGTCATCGGGGCGACAATGTCGACGACAATGTCTGCGAGCCGGCCGGCGGAACGAACGGCTGCCCCGGGCGGCCCTGGCTGATTAGCTCGCAGTTGAAACGGTATTTTTCAATTACGGCCGCCAGGGAGCGCTAGCGCCGGCAGCGCCGGCAGCGCCGGCAGCGTCAGCTGAATGCCTTCATTTGACACGCCCTTCTGTCGCTATTGGCCAGCCGTGACCACTATTAGCGATGTGTCGGGGCGTCGTGGCGTCGTGGCGTCGTGGCGGTGGGGCGAGAAAGTTAGATTTTCGGCTCTCGCAGCGCAGGGCCTCCAGCGCCCAATGGTCGCGCCGTCCCGGCCTCGGCCGTGCTGCTGGGCCCTAGGCCCTGGGCTCTAGGCCCGGCGTGACGGGCAGGTGCCGCTGGGGTCAGCGTCGCGGCCAGTGTTCATCCTTGAATGGGCGTCATCATCGGGGACCTTTGGTTGGACCCGAGGGCCGGTCGGCCGGCCGAAATCACGTCGGCAGGCAAAGGGAGAGGAGAAAGGCGAGAGGCCCGGACAAGCAGGGCAAGTGAGGCGACTCGGGGCAGCCTGGGGAACGTGGATGCTACTTCCCGGCCAACCCCCGGCCGGCATGAGGACAGGAGACAACGGACGCCCCGCGAGCCCCCACTGCGCCCGGCCAGCCCAGCTCCCCTGCGATAAAAAGTGTCGCCCGCTGCCGCCGCCATTCGGCCACGGCCGTTGGATGCATCATGGGAACGCCCTGTGAATTATTCAAAAGGACGACCCGTGCCTTCGAGGCTTCGAGGACGGAGGGCCGCACGGGGGGCCTTGGAGCCCACAGGGCCAGGGCCGTGCTGCGCGCCGCGCCGTTCCGAGGGTCGTTCAGAGGGTCAGCCCTGCACAGCGCCGCGCCGTACAAGGGCCCTGCTGGGCCATGCAGTGTAGGGCCATGCCCTGCCCTGCCCTTCGGCCCGGCCTGTCAGCGAGCATATGGCGGCATGGCGGTGCCGAAAGTCCTGCCGAAAGCGGCGCGACGACGGGCACGTCGTGAGAGAGGCGAAGGAGAGACTTTTGAAAAACGGGCTGGGAAAAGTAGAGGAATGTGCGAGTGCCTGCCGCTGTGACAAGCTCGGCAAGCTCGGCGAGGAGGCCCAGGCTGATCCAGGCGAGCGATTCCGAGAGACGCCGTTTGGAATGAGTCCCCCGGTCGTCCGCGTGGGAAGGCGGCACGCATTCGCAGTGATTGATTGATTCGCGATCCAGAGTCGTCGCGCCTGACCGACGCAATGCATATGGAATGAGGCTTCTTCCCGGTAGTACTTGCACTTGCACGACATGAGCCTCAACGAGGACGCCGCCAGGTCAGGGGCCGCCGCGGGGAGGCGCGCACTTCCAGGAGGCATCACGACGCACGCCGTTGGCGAAGGTCCACCCGCACACATGGCGCGGCGTCGGCGGCGTGCTTTGTGCCACCCTGGCTAGGCCCTGGGCCAGTCTGGCCGCATGTGGGTCGGGCTGGTCGAGCAATCCGACACCGCCACTCTCCGGGCTCGGTGACACCTGGTGGCGAGGCAGGGCGGTAGAAGCATCGGCTACACGCTGAAAAAAAAACTATCTACTTGAAACGATTGGAAGCAAGGGAACTTTGACTGCATTCGAACTCCAGTCTTGACGCACGTGCCACATCCGGCAGCGGGGCCCTGCGCCCTGGAAGGTCTAGTTCCCATTGTCCACGCCGCCGCCACGTCGGCGTACCGGCCATGCACGCCTCGCTGACGTACGGCGGCGCGGCGCCGCGACACACACATGGCGCGCACTGCACGGTGCAAACTAATCAGAGTGCGTGTGTGAGTGTGTGTGTTTGCCCCCGCCGCCTAGAAGAAAGGCGACAGGACAACAGGCCATACTTCCAGGCCGTGCATTAATCAAGCATCGCGCCCTTTAACGGTGCCGTGTGCCGCCCACGTCGTGAGTGCGCCGTGCATTTCCCGTTTACTGCCCGCGGTTTCACTCGGCTGTCACTCAGTCACCGCTGCTCCCAAAAGAAACCTTTTGTTGGCCCTCGAGCGTGCCTGGCTGCGTGCCTGGCTGCGTGGTGAACCCGGCGAACCCTTGGCGGCCCTGCACAAGGCGCAAAGCGAGGCGAACTGCCCCCTGCGGCGAGCCCTCAGCCCTGCAGACTGTCTCTCTCGCATGCACGGTATCTGGGTCCGGTGCGACGGGGACAGAGCGACGAAAGCGCTATGGCTCTGATGCACAATAAGGGCCCGGCGGGCAGTGCGCTCACCTGGCTCGCCCCCGGGGCCGCGGCGTCGACGGGGCGTCGACGGGGTGCCCGTCTGACACACATCCACGCGCTGCGCCGCGTTCCGCGTTCTGTGCGAGGGTGCGTTGTGCGTTCGCCAGGCAATCTCTAACGCCCCCCGCGGAGCCACGCCGCCACGCCGTGGGGCGGCCCTTGATTGGAAACAGGACACATGCCATTGACGCTGCATCCGCCGGGGACAATCGGTCGCAATGGCCTCGCATAGCGCTAGACAAAGTAATCAAGTCCTCATCAAGCTACTCATCAGGAAGTCTTCTTGGAGGAAGAGGCGAATTGGAGTCGCCCCGCCCCGCCGCGGCAGCGTGCCGAAAGGACGACTCGAAGCCGCGGTCAGCGAGGGCTTTTGTACGTCGTAGAATTTGGGGCTCAGATTATCCGCCGCTGACGCAGACTGAAAGCAGCATCGGCGTGCATCAGGGTCTCGATCTCCGATCGCCCGAAAGGATTCGTGATCCGGCCGGCCGAGCGCCGTGGCGGTAGGCAACCCTTGCGCGCTCCACACGGCCGTGCGTGCTCGCTGCCTACCGCCCAGGGGCGCGGCCGGCGCAAGCGAAGCGCCGTGGCGGTGGGCAACCCTTGCGCGCTCCACACGGCCGTGCGTACTCATTGCCTATCGTCCAGGGGCTTGGCTTGAGAGGCTAGACCATAACGCCGAGTGCGCCTGGTTGGCATTATCAACGTATCAGGAGGGCTGCTTTGCGTGATAAGTCCGACTCCGCGCTCCGCGCTCCGCGTCGATGGCGGCGCCGACTTTCCCACAGCCATCCGCGACGTCGTCCGCCTCTCCGCGCGGCCCGGCGCTACGACGCCGGCGGCCTACCCACTGCGAACATGATGAGGCACGCCCCGCGCGTCTTTACACTAGCGTCTAATCTAATCAGTGCTTTTTCTGGGCGCCAAACAGGACTCTGTCTAATTTACCATCTTTTGTTTACCGCGGGCCCCCTTCCCTCTCGAATGACCTCCGCAGATAGGGCACTGCCGTGGCACTGCCAGGTAAACGAGGACGATGGCGCAACGGCCCGGTGGCGGCGCACCGCGTGCTGCCGCGCACCTGTAGAGCGGGCAATGCGCTCAGGTCGCTCAGGTGCGGCGGAAATATTAGAAGACCTCCCCTAATCGATCATCGGACCATCGGACGGACCATTGCTCTGGCCTCTGGGTTTCGACGGTCTTTACTCTCCCTCCGCCCCCGCCCCTCGCTGCCCCCTCCACTGGCCGGTGTTTACTGTGTGCTCTCTTTGCCTGCTGCCGCAGCAACAGCATCAGCAGCCCACCGCGACTGCTGCGGCCGCGACCACGACGCCGCCGGCCCGGCCACTTGTGACTGTCGCCTGTCGCCATCCGTGCGGACTACAGACAGACGCCAGCAGACGCCTCTTCGCGCGAGACCGGGTCCCTTTTGTTCCTCGCGATGACTCTCCAAGCCATCAAGTGGGCCGGAGGCCGCCTGGAGATCCTGGACCAGCTGCTGCTCCCCCACGAGTCCAAGTACATCCCTGTCAACGGCGTGGAGGACGGCTGGAAAGCGATAAACGCGATGCAGGTAGGTAACCTAACCTGCTGCCCATGCTCTCCGGCCCAACCCAACCCTTGAGGCTCCCATTTGAAAGGCTTTTGTGGGAAGATTGTGCTGACTTGTATCGTTTGCTACGATCTCGTTACATTAATGTTTTAATTTTTAAAACGGCTGTTTGTTAAATAGTTTGTTCTGTCATCACAATAAATGCATCCTATGTACGAACAAATAGATTTTTTTGGTCTGATAATAACGATTATTTCTCTTTTCCGTAGGTCAGAGGAGCTCCAGCTATTGCCATCGTGGGAAGCCTCAGCTTGGCAGTTGAGCTTCTTGGTACCACATTTAATGACAAGACTGTATTGCGTCAGGATGTAGAAGGAAAGTTGAATTATTTGTGTTCTGCTCGACCGACTGCCGTTAATATGAAGATTGCAGCGGAAGAATTGACCCTTGAAGCCAATCGATTGAGCAGCGATGACTCAATTTCAGATGCAGAGGAAATGAAGAAACAGTAAGTGTGGTATTGTTCTTCTATTTTGTCAGTTTCCCAACAGTGTCATTCCAATAATTTTTTTTCATTTCAAGATTGTGTTTAAAGATAGAGGCAATGCTGGAGAAAGATTTAAACGATAACAGAAATATTGGTGAATTTGGGGCTCTGTCTTTTCTGACACGAGCTGGTGTAAATGGAAAAGTACGAGTTCTTACTCATTGCAACACGGGATCACTTGCCACTGCTGGTTATGGAACTGCGCTGGGTGTCATCCGTTCTCTATTCCATCAAGGCAAACTGGGTATGTTCAACCAAACAAATTAAATTAAAACATTTAAAAGTTTTCTTTTCATTAGTCATTTTTGCATAATTTATTGTATTGGATCCCTTTAGAACATGCATATTGTACGGAAACTCGTCCTTACAACCAAGGTGCTCGACTCACTGCTTATGAATTGGTGCATGAAAGGATTCCCTCCACTATGGTGTGTGATAGTGCTGTATCTGCACTTATGAAGTCGACTACAATTCATGGTGTTGTAGTCGGAGCTGATCGAATTGCAGCAAATGGTGATACAGCCAACAAAATAGGAACATATCAGGTAAAGTATTGTTTCATGTTTGGTGTTATTTATTTAGTTGCGTAAAGTTGAATTTCTTTTGGATTTTGAATTTTTGCTTTTTCCAGATTGCAGTGGTTGCAAAGCACCATGGTGTTCCATTTTATGTTGCCGCTCCTCTTACTTCCATTGATTTGGATACTCCCAATGGTGATCGCATTGTTATTGAAGAAAGACCCGCTGTAGAAATGACTCATGTTGGTGGACAGCAAATAGCAGCCTCAGGTTGGAGCTGAATCATTTTAATTTCTAATTTTTTGACATCGCTCACAGCGTTTTATTTTTCTGCTCTTTATGTCTTTCCTTTCCAGGCATCCACTGTTGGAATCCAGCTTTTGATGTTACTCCTGCAGAGCTCATCACTGCCATCATCACAGAACACGGGGCATTTACTCCAGGAGAGCTTGCTGATAAGATCACACCACTAAAGAAGAGTCTCTGAAAGTTTGATAAGCAGTGCATTGCCGTTTGTTTGAAAGGAGATGGGCAGAATGCTGTTTCTTAGTCTTTAAAAAGGCTTAATGTAAGATTTATACAAGTGTACAGTAGGTCATATGATGAATTATTTTTGTATGCTTTTCATGTAATTTAAAACTTTTTATTACTTTTATTATTGTTACAAAAATATTCCAGACTTCTTCACTTGAACATCCTTCATGAGGCGGCAGTGGGTGCAGATGCTACAGGAGGATTTGTTTTACTTTCTTTCAGTTTAAATTTTCTGTCCGAGTACAGTATTATGGTCTTTTTTAAAAAATCAGATCTATATGGAAAATACACCTACTTTACTCAGGAGGGGTTTAAATTGTGCAGCGCACTAACTTTCTACTAGTTCATGAAGAGATTTTTCCTTAATGATTTGTAACAATGAAGTGACTTTGGTATGAAGCCATAGTCGAGACAAACTTACATTTGAAATCACAGATCTACACTCCACCCAATGCTCCCTAAATTAAGAGTACTGCTTTATGGCAAGATTGCTACATTTTTATACATTAACTAAAGAAGTAGTCAGTAGAAGAAACAAAAGCCCAAACAAAACCAAACAGCACAAGATACTCACACAAGTTTGTAGCAAACACACAATAACAACTTGCATACTTAAATTGCTTCATACTAATTAACTACAACTGGATGCATTCTTAACAGAAATGCACTTGCCCATTTTTACAACTGGAGTTCGACTTTCACCAAGCCTGCTGCATTCAAAAGCAATCAATGCACTCCACATATCGTTGTAGGCCTTTAAAATGGCTTTGTTGAGAAAAGAATGTTAAACTTATTGGTGCCACAACAAAACAAACTACGTCAAAATAAAAAAACTAGAAAAGCCCCCTTCAATAAAGGTAAACATGACCAATATGACTGAGGGAAATACATTTAACTAGAAACAACATAACAAAATCAAAAAAATTTAAAACAAACAACAACATTTCATAATTTAATCTTATCAGTTCAATAACTTAAATGTTATTTTGTGGATATCAAGATTCGTTTTGAAGTCCTATGTGTAAAACCTCTGACCTTTCTCTTTTTTCCAAAAAATAAGTAGATGTCTTTGTACAACAGTTTCGATTGATTCATCTACTTATTTCTGTCAGACTTCTCAAGCTGAGCTTAATCTAATAAATATCGAGAAAACATGAAACGAAAACAAAAAAGAACAACATTTTTACAATAAAAACATATCACAAGAACAAAAAGCCAAAATAAATAAGGGGACAGAGGACATGTTTCAGATCATAGTACGAGTACATGACTCATTTTTGTACTGCCTTTTAAGACCAAAAGGGCAAAATGACGTTGATTTAATGAAACTTAAATAACGCATTGCTTAGTTTAAGTTCCAATACAAACACACGCCACTTTGAATAAGAACATTCAATGTATTTTAAACTAAATTAATATTGGTACACTGGATTAATAACAGGTACCTCAGAAATGTTTAAAGCAGGCAATAAATAACTCTTGATATTTTGATTAACAATCATTTGTTAAAAATACTAGATAGGTTTTTGAAGTTCCCAATTTTACCTCTTTTCACCATCAGTCTAAACTGACCCCAATTGTTACAACTAAACCGATTCCAGAGAGACAAATTAAACGAGAGGTACAATAGTTTGTCACAAAAACACTCCTACCATGCTCAGAAAAATTCCCAGTAAATGTTCCTAACCATGACAAGAGTCCTGTCAACACAATTAAAAACTAGTACATGAGAAATTCTGTCTGCTTATCTGGGGTTCACCATGACACCATCCTGATGACGATCCTAAAGAGAAACATATTCATGGAGTTAGTAAACTGAATATTTTCAGTAATCATGGATGAAGGCTAGAAAATTACTTACAGCCAATCTTCTGTGCACCATTTTAGGAACAGCATGATGGCCAGGGTGGAGAACTTGTTGAGGGGCGTGAGCTTGGTTTGGCTCATTGTTATAGTCGATTTGGTCCACATCCCCCTCATCTAGAAAAAAGAAATACATATGGCATTATGGCGAAGTGAATTTGAAATGAAACCATTCAGATACAAAATATCTCAATGTTACCTTCTCCTTCATTATTTGCAGGGGGATCCTCTTTGTCATAATCACCACCATGGTAATTATAATGCCCAGCCTGAGCATCTAGCTGTGCAGCAGGTTGTTCATGGTTTCTCCTGGTGATGGAATTATATGAAGTTGCGATTCAAGATGCTTTAAGATGTTTGACTTATATAAATTTAGTGCATTTTCTTTTTTTTTTTTGCCACTTACCCATGAGCTGAATCCTGATTGTGGTGGGCCAGCTCCACAAATGGATTGCCACCTTGCACTTCTAAATCAGATTGTTGATGCACATCTCCATCAAGAGGCACAATGTTCACATTTTTTATGGCACTTTTATGGAATGCTGCAGCTTTATTATCTGCCCTAAACGGATTATCATGGGGCAAGAACACAGATTTGTGGACATCTTGGGCAGCAAGATATTTGTTATCAACTGGAATGCCAATATTTTTGTGCAAATTGTACACACTGTTGTGAGCTTTCAGACCATTTAAGTAGCCATTGTCACTCTGAACATATTTGTGTTGGTCCTGAGCATTAGCGGGTGAGTCAACTAAATTTTGTTTCATGAAACTTAAATCATTTTGGAATGGGTTCATGTTCTGGTGCAAAGCTTGGCCAAAACTTGGTGAGCGCTGTGCAATTCCATGGGCATGATTTGGTGGAGCAGGAAGTACATTGTTTTGCACACCCGTTGCAGGAATTCTTGGTGCAAATGGTGGCATTTGACCCTGATTCTGGAGAACCTCTTGGTGATTAAGACCGTGAAGTCTATAAGGGGCCTGAAGAGGAATAGCATTCTATAGAGAAGAAATATAAACATTATTAAGTATAATTGCTGTTTGTTCAAATGAGGATTGAAACTTCTTAGGAATGCAACAACAACATAGAGAGCTGTTTTCTTTTAACTACCTGGCCGTAATGGTTGTCACTGCCAAACCCTAAGGGAGCGGGTAAGACGCCTTGAGGTCCATTGTTGGCAAAATCTTGCTTCTGTAATTATTATTATTTTCTTTAGATAACATAAACAGATAAAAAGGAGAATCTTCCTAGATTGATACATTGGCACTGTCTATGTACATCTTCTGGAATTTAATTTCTGCATTACTTTAACTCTAAAGGCAGAGGAAGATAAAGAACATAACACTCACTTCCACAGAAACATGCTGTTGAAGAGGGGAGAGTAAGAGAGGCATTGGAAGTGCTGGTAAAGCTCGATGTAACATTTTGTCTTGGCTTTGTAAGGCTTCTGGATTTATCTGAGTAGTAGTTGAATGGTTTCCTGAAGTCTGGAAAATATTCTTATGCAATGGATGTAATGCAAGGAATGAAAATTGTTTTTTCTCAACCTTGTATGTTACCCATAAAGCACACCCTCTTATCAGATTCTGCCTGAATATTTCAGCTAGTTGTATGGTTGTACATTATGTTACGCTGAAATTGCTTTGAGCCCATAGGTAACATTAGGTAGGAGAACAGCAGAACTATGTGAAGAAGCCATGCATTATTTTATTTTACAGATAGCAAATGTGAACAAATGATGAAGAAAAGCACTATCTTGGAGAAGAAATGGGGGAATATGAAGATGTAAACTTGAAACTTAGTCCGTTACCTTGGACACAGGCTGCAATAAGCCTGGCTGAGCAGGTCTTGCTGGTTGGAGAATTTCCTCCTGAGCAGCGGTAGAAGACTTCTGTGCAGCAGGCAAGACATTGTGAGGGGGCTCATGTAAACTACCAGTGCCATTGTCTCCAAGTGCACTTTCACCAGGAATAGTTTCTTTTGTTGAACCTCGTTTAGTGCCAGCATTGGCTCCCTGCTGATGACAATGTGTTTGATCAGACAATTAGAACAGAAGTACATGAAGGTCACAAACTAATCATCATAAACATACCTGTTCATTTACATTGTTGTCCAGTTTTCTTTGAAGCAAATTGAGTTTCTCAAACAATGCTTTGTTCTCTTCTTCCAGTCTAAGGAACTTAAGCTGAAACAATTGCATCCATTTACTTAATACTGTACTCAGCAAAAATGAACAACAAAAAATTCTTAATGGTCAAACATATAAGGTAGGTGACCATACCTTGAGGCTGCTGGCTTCAGTGTCTTTAGTTAATTGCTCTTGCCGCATGGAGGCAAGCTGGGCACTCATGCGACTCACAGCCTCAGAGCAAGATGCCTGTTCAGCTTTGGCTTTGTTACTAAGTTCGTTGAGGTCCTCATGCTCACTTTGCAGCAATTTGTACTGCTGTTGAAGGGCTTTGTACTTGTTAACATTTTCAAGGTTTTCTTTATCTCTCAATTGCTGTTCATCATTCATGCGGGACTGCAGCTCCTCCTTTGTTTGTCGATGTTCAGCCTTTTCTTGATTTAATGACTTCTCCAGGTTTTTCTTATATTCTGATATTACTGAAAAGAAGAAAGTACAATTCCACATTAATTTGAATACCCTTTCATGGCATTAAGAACAAAAGAAGGAAACTTATGCTCACCTTGAACTTGGGCAGCCAGGGAGTCTTGCTCTTGGCGACATTTGCTATGTGCATTGCGCACTTCATCAAGTTCTACTCTAGTGCTGTGATACAGAAATATGACCCCAGCAAATAAGGTCAAAACTCCTAAACCAGCAAACAGGCGACCCTTTGTGCTCCTCACTAGCCTTGAAGAAGTCATCATTCTATGGTTCTCCTCACCACATCCTGTAAATGCAAGTCAAATGTGAGGCACGGCAAATGATAAGAGTGAGTACACACAAATTGTGACGCCTTATCTCTAAATGTTATCAGCAGCATACGCATGTTCATACATTCCTGAAATGGCGTTCAAAATGGCCCTTGGGCTACTTTGAGACCTTATTAATTAGTTTCAAATCATTCATACAAATTTGATGATCAATAACAATCAGTTTGCCAAACAGTAGAGCATACGTAATGGGGACACATTTTTAATATGACCTAGAATAAGTTATGTCTAAGCATTGACATGAATGATCTTAAGAGCAATAAACCATCAACATGAAGCATTGTGCACTCAGGAAAATATATGATCAGATTTCAAAAGAGTGAAAACAAAATATAATACATTGGTTGATAATCAGTGGCCTACATATCAAAATGACCAACCTGACACATTTGTTGCACACACAGATGTTCATGTCATAAGTTTTGAAGAAAAAAACTATATTAAAAATAAAGCTAAATCTTAAAATTGAACTAGTTATACCAAATTATCAAAAACATGGAATCTATCCCAGAACAGGTGTTCAACAGATCACCCTCAAATTGGGTTAAGAAATGAAAATTTAAAAAGTCGCCACACTGAAAAACATGCAACGTGCATCTGCAGAGGACATAAATGCAAGAAAGTGCAGGATGAATTTAACTCTACAGATCATAAGAACAGAGAACAAGTAAAGGGTTTATTTCCTAGGACACGTATTGACGAATGTGCCGACAACAGCTCCCTTGTATATACTCACGTAAAGTTTTAGGACTATCCAAAGCAACGGTCCAATCTTCAAACTAAACAGTGTAATTCATGAAAAATGATATATATCGGCTAAAGACATGTTAAATAAACGAGAAAAGGAACACAAATGCACATCTGAACTGTTTTGGTGTTTTGACGTAAGTACAGCCGTCTGTAATGTTGTCATGCGGTGAAAACAACTGACAGACGTTACCGATACCAACCAAACCATAAAATAATGTGAAATTAGAAGAAGCGTATTCTTAAAACTAATATTTTTCCTCGGAAAATTTTAAAATAAGAGATGATCCCATTCACTAATATTGTTCGCAAATCAATTTGTTTCTTCTCAAAATCAGTAACATGGCTGCCAACCCAATATAAGCTTGCGAAGCAAAGGACTTAATTTGAGCTGTTTTCCCATGAGTATTAGCTAGTTTTGACTTATTCAGAGCCAAATGAACGACAAATTTCAATTTCGTATCCAGTAGAGGAGAGGTAACGAGTTTTGTTTGTTGCGATATTTCAGTTTCGATTCTGGACAGTCGCACGAGTCCCACAGCCAACACGCTAAATGAACTTTCCACTTCCAGTCTCCCTCTAGCTTCCGTTCGAGTAAGCCTAGCGAAATGGAAGAGAGGTTTCGTGCTCTTCATGCAAAATTGTTCGAATTTATTGTCTTCAGTGTGTAAAGTGTAGTTTAAGTGTGAGAGTGTCAAGCCTGAGTGGATTTAGAAGATACAGGATTTGCAGTTGTGATTGCTTGGGTAAGTTGTGGCGTCCTTTCTGTCTCAGAACGGGTCTGCCTCTCCCCGGAGACTTGATGAGCCAGAGAGAGACAGCACGAAAACTCAGCAGGCGAAGGCGAACTTGCTCTCTGGGGTCGTCCCACACCCGTGGATTCAAACCCCTGTTTCTCCACGAGTAGCGCCCGTGTTCAGTTCGATGGTAAAGCGAATCGCATGTTGGTCATTTTTGTTAATTTTGAAACCAGCCCCCGCCGGTTATTTCCCCATTATTCAGAGCATAATGTTTCTGCAATTGCAGCCAGGATGATTGTGTACTTACATTGCTATCGCTTTCCTCGTCCATCAAACTTCGTACTCCCCACCGATATGGACACTTAACCTGTGTCAGTTAACCTAGAAACATTTGTGCAAATTCTGGAAACCTGAAATTGTAATTATTAGGCTGCTGTTTAATCAGCTTTGTCTGTTGGTGACTGACATTTTCTCTCGAGAAAGACACCTTGCTTCAATGCCATTTGTGGTTTTTCTACCTGTTTACGAAGGGTCCAATTGCTCTATATTTCAATAAATTAATTTGCCTGCTTCAGTGATGTATTCGCTTGTAAGTGTTGGAAGTGCATAATCTATCATTCCACAACAACCTTGGAGGTTATCTAACTTTCTACTGATCAACCCTATTTATTTCTTGGGGCCCTTGAAATATCCGCTTTGGAGTAGTTCTAGACATGTGCTTGAGCCCTATACAATTGACCAAATCTCAACATATTATGAAAGTAAGGGTGCACAATGTGTTCTATGAATGCAGCTCGGTGCTTCTATCATAATAGTGTGCTAAGTTTTTAGGGGGAGTAGGGGGGTTCCCCAGTTCCTTTCTCAGTGCCTTTGCGTTGTGTTGATTATTACCTGTGCGCACAACTGGACTCCGCTTGATAAAGAGGGGGCTGAGGTTTGCTGGACATTCCATGAGTGCCTTCATGGGACTCCAAGGGACTCCCTTGCCCCCTCCCTTGCCTGCTCCACAGCTGCTGCTTTGTCCGCCTGCTGTTTCCGCCCTTGAACTCCATCCCTTGACACCTTTCCTTGCCAATCTCCCTGCTCTGTGCCTGCCCCTTCCCCCTTTCTCCCTGCCTGCCGGCCGTGCTCCTGACCCTGCTTCCGTCGTCCTTCTGCAGCCCCAGTTCGTCCGCCTCCTTTTCCCATTTCCTTCATCCCTCTCTCCCCCCCATTCTCTTCTCCCACGATGTGGCGTCCCCTTCTCCCTGTCCTCCCACGACGCCCCGTCCCGCCCTCCATCTCCTCTCTCAGCCCCGTCCTCCTCGACGCGAGTACGCGAAGCTACGCGAAGCCCAAGCCCCGTCCGTTTCCGCCGCCATTTTGTGTCGTTTTGTTTTTATTTTTTTGCATCCGCTCTAATGACTGATCTGCGCGCCGCCTCTGCCATGGCATGGCCGGGCATGGCCTGCCCGTGGCTGGTGTGCCGTGCTGGCGGCGTGGATGGCCTGGGCCGGGCCACGGCGCGGCGCCCTTCTCCTTGACCTGCTCGGCGGCCGGGCCTCGCCGGGCCGGGCGCCGGTCTCTGCGGGGCGCTCCTTGTTGTGCAGCAGGAGAGGAAATCCCCATCCCCGGGGCCGGAGAGGAGGCGAGGCGAGGCGTGGCGTGGAGGGTGTGTGGTGGCACGGCGAGCCACGGCTTGCAGGCCGGCCGAGCTGCGCGCTGCTCGCTCTGCGCTGGCATGGCCGGGCACGCCAGCTAGCATGTCGCCGTGCTGGGTAGGCAGCCCGCGTCGCTGGCGTGTGCTGCGTGCGGCTGGCCCCTGGCGGTGGCAGGCGCTCTGGGCTGGCTGGCTGGCTGGGCTGGCTGCTCCCCGCGTTGCTCCGCGTTGCCCCGCGTTGCTCCGCGCTCCGCGTAGAGAAGCGCCAAGGCGAGGCCAAGCGCGGAGCAAAGGACGCGGCCGTGGCGATGCGAGGCGAGGCGCTCGGGATGCGCCGCGGCAGCACGGCGGCACCCCAGGCGCCAGTTTGGCTGTTTTCCTTTTCCCGGCACACTTTTGATCGCCTTTGGCGGCGCTGCCTGGCGCTGCTTGCCTGGCCGTGGCGTCGCGGTGCCGGTGCGGCGGCCTGCTCATGCGCGTTCTGGTTGCGCAAAGTGCATTTCCCACGAAGGCTGCCCTCGCCCGGCCCGGCCGGCCTGCATATTGATGGCGCCTGCCTCGCCTTCGCCTTCCTCTTCCTCCCCTTTATTTTGGGAGGGTGCCGCCGCACCGCCACGCAGCGCCACGCAGCGCCACCACCCCGATGTCGCTGGCCCAGGGGCTTGCTTGGCTTGCTGCGAGTGAGGCAGGGCGCGGCGTGGCGCGGCGTGGCGTGGCGCGGCGTGGCGGCGGTCGCGCAGCGTCAGCCGCCATCTTGTTTCGGGAGCGGCAGACCGGGCTGGGCCGGGCGGGCCGGGTGGGTCCGCTGTGCGCGGCGCTCGGCTCGACTCGGCTCGCTTGGCCTCGCTCGCCTGACTCGGCGCGGCTCTTGCGTGCCGCGGCTGCGCTCGTCCGGGCCGCCATGGCAGTGGGCATTCACGTGAGGCGTGGGTAGCCTGGCGGCCTGGGCCACGGCCTGGGCCACGGCCTGGGCCACGGCCTGGCGGCTCGGCTCGGACGGGGTGCCCCGGGTCGGGCCGTCGGGTCGTCCGGCCGAGCCCCGGGGTGAAGGACCTGATAAGTACCGAAAGATAAGGAATGCGCGAGGACGGCGTCGGGGCGGCTGCGGCCCCGGGGGTGCGGTCGGGACGGGAGCGCTCTCACCGGCGCAAACAGCGCGCCTCCCCGCCCGGGCCGACTCGAACCTCGCGGAATGCGGTTGGAGCCCACTGGAGCCATGGGGCGAGGAAGGCTTGGAACGGTGTCCCGATTCCCGGGGCAGAGGGGGGTCGGCGCGGCAGGGGGACGGCCGCCGGCCCCGGGCCCCGGGACGTCGCGTTGTTGATGAAGGCGGCGCAGCGGGCGCAGCGCGGCGTCGGAGAGGCGATGGGCTGCGGCACGGCCTACTGCCAGCTGCTCCCCCAGCCGTCCCCGCTCCGCCCTCCCCCGCGCCGCCAGCCCGCCAGCGGCCCAGCGCAGCCATGGGCCCCGCTGTGGCTGTGGCGTAACCAGCGCGTCGAGCAATGCCCCGCCGCGCCCCGCTCCGCTCCGCCCCGCGTGGTCGGCCTAGCCCGGTGCTGCAGCCCCATGCAGGCAAAAACTTTGCAGCCTCCAGGTCACTGCCATGGCCTGCCACCCTTGCTCGTCTGCAGATCCCCCCCCGCTTCTTTTCCAACACACTGGCTGGCAGTCTCTCCCCCCTCTCCGCGCCGCTCGGGCGGGGCTGTGGCGGGGCTGCGTTGCTGAGTTCTTTGTCTGCCCGTCGGCCGGTATTCGAGGCCCGCCTGGAGCCCTGCGGAGCTCTGGAGCCTGGTGCTTGCCTTGCCTTTGCCTGCCAAGCCTGCCTGGCCCGTGCATGGAGTAGGGGGGATGCGGGCGGGGGCGTGTCCGCCCGGCGTCCCCGGCGTCCCCGGGCGTCGCCGAGGGTCTTTGTGGCGTCGGCTGAACCTCGTCGGCCGGGCGGCGGCAGGAAGCGACACGGCCTGGGCCAGGCCGCCAGGCCGCCACCTGCTCCAGATGTTGGGCTCCACGCACGCCCGGGTCTCGGCCCTCCATCCGCATCCCCGTGGTGGCCGCGGCGGCCGCGGCCAGTCGGCGGGCCGCTGCGCTTGGTGCCGTGGTGCTTGTTCCGGCTTGACTGCGAATGCCCCGCCCCACCCCACCCCGCCCCGCTCGCCGCCACTCTGAATGCGCAAACCAGTTCTGCTGCTTCTTCTGCCGCTTGCTTTATTTTTTGCCGCGAGCGAGTCAAGGCGATGGTTGTGTCAAGTGCGTCGGCATAAGTACTCGGCCGTTGTCATCGCGCCTGTTGCCGCACGCGCGCCGCCCCGAGAGGAGCCTCGCGGAGGCGTAGCCGGATGGGGGTCGGGGAGCATGGGGCGGGTTTGGGGGGACCGTTCAAGCTGTGCCCTTTACCGGGCCGGCGATTCGGCCCCGAGGCTGGGACTGGCGGTGGCGTGGGCGGGGCCCCTCGGTCCTTCGGCCCTTCGCCGCGTCACTCGGCATCCCGCCCGACGTGGACCTCCAAG